GCTTTACGATCGCGAGGAAGAACCGTATCCTCGTCTGACATGAGATTCATGCCCGCAAAACACGGCGTTAACGAGCGCGCCGGCAAGTCAGCGACGGATCCTTTTGCTCGCGCTTTTCGGAGACATCGACGCCTGGTGAGGCGAGGCGTTCGATACGCCGGTTCGCGCCATCGCTGGCGGACGAGCGCCCGGCGAACCGACGCTGTCGATACCTTCGGTTCTCCGTGCGAGGAAACTACAATTTACTGTTTTAACACTAAAACTACCGAACAGCTAAATTAACGTTTTGAAATTTCCATATAGAAACTCCAAGAGTGCATTTATTGGAACTTTGATCGATTTATAATTCAGTTTGCGTATTGCTAAATAAATTTCTTTAATGATTTTTCATAGAAACATCTGTTATCTTTTAATAATTGTGAAAGGAGGAAATTAAGAATACATTATTTTGACCTGTTTGATAGTTTTAGTGTTAAATAAGAATTTCACTATAATGTCTTTAGTGATCATGAATTGCATATAAATAAGGAAATTTTTAAATTCAATAATCTTACATTAAATTCTATTTCCTTTATTAACCCCTTGTCCTACGATTTATGTCATAACTATGATCGATACCACTACTTTGTCGTTAATAATTTATCGAGAAAAGGAAAGAATTCTCAGCATACTATATGTTTGATTTAAAGTATCATAAATGATAATAGAAGAATTATATTTAATTTGGATTCAAAAGAATTGAGAAATGTTTATAATTGTATTGTTTGTAAGTTTATATTCTAACTTGTTTACTTTTCTTTCATAACCAATTATTTGGCCGGTTACGATCGGTATAATTATGTATAAAGTTCCCTATGTTTATTGTTAAATACTTTTAAAATATCAACAATTACAAAATCATAAAATAAAAACTGATACGGTAGGTCTAGTATTAAAATGCAATTAAAAAATATATATATTGGAATTAATGTTTAGTCGTACATCAAATAATCTGCCTGTACATTTGAGTCGTTCATATAGCTGTGTATAAGTTCATTTTTTCATACGTTCAGATATTAATTTAAAGGCTTGACTTGAAATCAACTTAAATCAACAATCCTTAACGTGAATAGGATTCACCAAAGTGAGTAGAATCTTAGCACTAGGTTTACGAAACGCGTCTTTGGCGCATATCAAATTGTATAAACATTATTTGCTAAATGTTTACGTCGATTTTGATTGATGCAATGCGACGAATATATAATAATATGGAACAACAGAATACAAAATGTACAATAAAAGTCCGCAAACCTCGTGTCAAATAATCTTATAATTCTACTTTTCATGTGTGAATTGACTTTTTACTCGAGTATAAAGAAAACCTTTGAAAATGAGAAAGGGCGAACTCTACACTATTTTACGTATACAATTTCCAATACTTGCAATTTCCACGAATCTCCACGAAAACACGTCCCTCGCTCTATACGACCTTTATTCGTGCGGAAACGGCAAATCTTGAAATAATATTTGAACGAGTGAAACGGCATCGACGTCGGGCCGACAGATTCGGCGCCGGTTCAACGTTCACCCCGCTGAGGCCCCGTGTCTATACGACGAAACGGTAGGGCCCCGAGGTTTTGCGAAACGCGGGTAAACACGCGCGGAGGGAAAGCCGCCGCGCCGGCTGGCCACGATCCTTCCACCCGGGGATGGTTTACGAGCGGAAACCGGCGCGGCGCGGCGCGGCGCCGCGCATCCCTTTTGTTCGCCGCGTCTCACGAACGTGGGACTTACAAATTGGAATACAACGGGCCCGGAGTTAGGAGAATCGTTTCACGCTTCGCGGAGGCGCCAAGTGGAAGGCAAACACCGATAAAAACTGCATGAATAAAGCACTAATGGACGCTCTATGGACAGGGAATAAACATCGGGGAGTACATTGAACGACTATAGAATGGTACAGGTGGCGACAACTCCCGATCACCGTTGGTCCCATCTTATATCATTTTCAGTTATGATTTCGGATCTGGCGAAGGTTTTGTATGCACTAATTAGAAATTGGAGATTGTATTATAAGTATGGCAGTGTTGGATTTTAAGTTGGTTTGGGTTAAGTTGTGGACATTTCGTGGACTTGGAATGGTTAGAAAGTTTGGGATTGTAATTTTGAAGGTAAGTGTAAGTTTCAATTGTAATTGCGACTTTTTTTATCTTTATATTAAATGTGAGTTTGTATAGGAATTTTTATAGAGTTTGTGTCAGTTTCTGATTTTCTGGGAGAATCGATGAAGAGAAGGAAGTTGATACTTTCTTAAATTTTTTATGTAAGTGTAATTGCATGGAATTTTGTAATTTAGATTTGAAAGAAAATTGATTAAGAAACAATAATCTTGTACTAGGAGGGTCAGTAGGTTTCTTTTTGTATGACATTTTCTTATAAAGAGAATACCATATAATAGTGATCACTGAACACGGAAAAGAATCGAATATGGATAAAATCAATAATAATAGCATAGGTATCCGGATGCACAATTGTCACTTTAACGAGGAAGAACGCACAATCCTAAAACTATGCAAAGTAGAACACATGAGATTATCTTGCATTTGTGTTATAAAATGAGAAGATTCACTAAAATATGAAACATTTTGCATGCCATTGATATTTGAAATTGAAATTGCTTTCAATTTAAGTTTAACTTTGTTAGAAGTTTGAATCAGAAATAAAAATTATCTGAATGCTAATATGACGCAATATATGTTAAAGAAACATGTCTAATAAAAATGATGATATATTTAAATAAATACACAAATGACTGACTGGAGATGTAAAGTTATAAATAAACTCAGTCGTCATTTCCAACCTTCACCACATCAAAAATTATGTACGGACCTGCAAGACAATAGTGAATGTACTTACTTCAGGCGGTGTATGCTATAAATAGACTGCGGAACCCTATGCAAACTTATAGCTTCGTAGGCTATTTTATAAATACCATACTAAAGGAAAAAATGCGTTTCATCCACTAAAAGGTTCTTCATCACAAAAGGAAACTAGAAATCTCATCAACGTTAATCAATATAACTTCTGCCTCATATTTTCAAATTCAAAAATACCATTAATGTCCAAAAATTTACGATCTAATTATTGACTATCATAATAAACATTCAAATAAGTAATTAAAAAAATTCAATTCCGTAGAAAAAATATAAATGTTATATACTGCCTTCAATATCACAATCTCACTCCATTTGAAAAAGGAAACAAACAAAATCCTTAAAGGAAACGATTGTACAATTATAAGTCCGACCAATGAAAACCAAGAAATCTGATTAAATGATTTCGATATTAAAACTGCCGATCAGTTAAATTAACTTTTTGAAATTCCTCTATAAAAACTTCAAGAGTGCATCTATTAAGACTTTAATTGATTTATCATTCAGATTGCGTGTTGCTAAATAAATTCTTTAATAATTTCTCAGAAAAACATCTGTTATCCTCTTAATAATTGCTAAAAGAAGAAATCGGTAATGGGTCATTTTGACCCGTCTGGTAGTTTTATTGTTAACGAGCTGAGAACCGATCGCCAACAGCCAGAACAATTTCCCACGGAATCCTATGATGTATTCGGGTTTCAATTATCGATCCTGTACACGCGAAACGTATTCAGAAGGCGATTGAGGCTCTTATCGGGCGGATAGCATTTCGCGTGAATCACCTGCCGACGTTTAACGACATCCAGTAGCTAATTTGTCATACGGCCGCGGAGCACGGCGACACGCGTTGAAGTAATAACACGCGTCGCTGCAGTTAACGCGCCCGTCAGACTGTACTTTAAACGAGAAACGCAATCAATCTCCTTAGAATCGAGGGATCCCAACGATCCTACGCGCGCGCGCGCGTTCTAACATTCTAATTCCGCGCAGAACGTTCTCGCAAACTATCGACTGAGACAACGATGAATCACGATCCGCTTCGAAACAGGTGAGAATTTCTTTAGATAACGAACGCTGGTAGCTATTTAAAGTCACTGACAGCTGTTTTCGCGAGCGATATTCATGTAGATGTTATCGAGCGTGGCGCCAATCAACGGCGAAGATAGATTAATAACAGCTAAACGCGTTACATCATGAAAATGGAACAAACACGCAAACCTCTTGTCATAAATCTAGATTGTTAATCCTCTAATAGAGGGGAAATCAGTCATTTCAAACAACAAAGCTTAATTGGTTAGCGGATCGATTAAACTCGATCATTTCCCGTGATTCGCTCGGTAATCCCCGGGAGCTTTGTTATTACCGTTTTACGATAGACCAGTAATTCTATTCAGATGTTTATTTATCCAAGCATCAGATTCCGGGACACCAAACGTTCGAACTCTATTCCCAAGATACGTGTAGATACACGAGATGTTCCAGGAATATTGTTCGCGCGTGAATCACCGTACTATTATCGGAATCAGATGTAAAGGTCACTGACTGCACTCTTTCTAGAATCCTCTAAATACCTGCTACCGAAGGAATCGAGCAGGGAAACTAACGCCCAGCGATCACCGATCGAGAAACTCGGCAATCTACGGATCATCGCGGTGCGCAACGATACCGACGGACTGCGGCGAAGAAAGTCCGTGTCACCCCTCAAAGTGAATCACCGACGGTCTCCTCCAAGGACTTTCCGGGCTTTATCGCAGGTTGACACACGATATTATCAACGAGCTGTTCGCGATATCCGAAAACGAGTCGCGAGAAATGACGAATCCTCCAAGCGACTGATCGCCATGCCTGGGTCCACGTAGGTCCCGCGTGTTCCTCGAAGCCGTACGAAAGAGGGTGCCGGCGAGCGACTTTTCATCGCATTTTTGCCCGGCGGCGCATGATTACACCGCGAGTATCGCGTTCCACGCGCGCAATCTTACAAGTGTGCGCCGCTCGGTCGAGCGACCGGCGAAAATTCATCGGGAATGAGCGAAAAAAAAGAATCAAAAGAAACGGAAAAGGTACATGTAAATTGGACGTTCAGTTCACCTGCGTCATGAGGCGATCAGCGCCGGTCCCCTCCTCATCCTTGAAGATGATGTCAGTGTTGTAGTTGGGCACCAGGTCCCTGAATCTGGAGTCATGCCTGGACACTCGTCCCTCGCTCATCCCGCTCGCCGGCTGCGTGTTCTCGCTAACGTTCGGCACATGCTGCTTGAACACCAGCGGCGTTAGCTTCCTCGGTGGCGGTCGTCGGCCGCCGCCCCTGCCTGGCCCGCAGGCCAGGACCAGGCCGCCGTTGTCCAGCACCGGCAGCCAGAGACCGAGTATCAGCAGCAGCACCTGGAGTAGCGACGGTGTCGCGCCTCCTCGC